TCCAGGAAAGAAGAAAACAAGCTGGCTCCCTCCTCCCTGTGACTTCCTGTCACATATTTATACATGGCTATCATGTCTCCTCTCAGCATTCTCTTCTTCAGGCTAAACATGACCAGCTCCTTAAGCTGCTCCTCATAGGACTTGTTCTCCAGACCCTTGATCATTTTAGTCGCCCTCCTCTGGACACATTCAGGTCAGCAGTTCAGTCACCACATGGGTTCAACTCATTGTGCCACCGCGGCTCTTTAAGCCAACAATGACAAATGATAATGAGTTGTGAAACTCTGATGTTGGTGCTGTACCAACCAAGTCTGCATTTGCCGAGTGTCCAAAAGTGTCTTAAACTATCATCTATTTCTCTAAAAAGCTAAAAAGCTTGCACCTAGGACTTTGATGCACCTCACCAAGCTTGATAAAGTAACATTTGGGACAACACTTCCATCATATTGGCTAGGGAAGTCAATAAGTTGCAGTCCCGAAGCCTAACTTTCTCAAGCTCTGCTTTCTATGGAACTTCGGTGTCACAAAAACATTCCCTCATCTGGTTAAATACTCCTAGTCCTCTTTCCATCCTTTGCCGGGTATGTGCCTCCCTTTTCAGGGAATCATTATATTAGCCAATACACACGTTGATGCTTCAAATATTAGCCCTGTTTCCGATAATATTCGACTTTCTGATTCCATAAATGGAGCCAGTTTCCCCACTATCAGCTCTAGTTTTTGAGAGACGGAACATATGCTTGCCTATAGAAAACCATGATAACGATATCCAAGAAACTAGTGCTGATGTGGTCTATCCAATGCAATTGCCGGAATCAGTGCCCCAAAGGACTCTATTTATTTATTTACTTATTTACTTCATTTCTGCCCCACCTTTCTTGACCTCGAAGGAGACTCAAGGCAACTTGCAAATCTGGCAAAAATTCAATGCCACACAGGTAAATAATACAACACCTCTCATTAAAATATAAACAATCTAAATATATAAATAATATGTGGTCTATCCAAGGCAATTGTCGGAATCAGTGCCCCAAAGGAATCTATTTGTTTATTTATTTACTTCATGTCTGCCCTACCTTTCTTGACCCCGAAGGGGACTCTCAAGGCGGTTTATAAATCCAGCAAAAATTCAATGCCACACAGGTAAACAATCAAACACATCTCATTAAAATATAAACAATCTAAATATATAAACAATTAAAATGTATCAATCAATCAAACAGATTAAAAACTCTAGGAAGGCAACTAAACAAGACAAGACATCAATAGATAGATAGGTTGGGTTGCATCCAACTCCTTCCTCTCCACAACAAAAGCTAAACACATCTAGAAAAGAGGTGCAATTTTTATCACTGGAGGCCCTATATCTCGGAATCGATCCCAGATTTTCTGCTTATCCTGGATTATCTGGCTGTGTGGACTCATCTAACTAATCTAAGCAGATATTGTGGGATTTTCTGCCTTGATATTCTGGGTTATAAGGCTTTGTGGAAGGGCCCTGGGAAAGCTCTAAGTATGCCATTGGGATTGTTTCCTAACCTGGCACCTGCCCCAAGGTCTTTCAACATGAGTGACCTCCATCTTCATTTTCCATTATGTTATTTTGTACTGTTTATTTTACTTAATTGGTTTATTTATTTTATTGTGATGTTATTTTGTTGTTTATATTTTATGCTGCTGTAATGTATCACTGGGCTTGGTCTCATGTAAGCCGCTCCGAGTCCCCTTTGGGGAGATGGGGGTGGGGTATAAATAAAGATTATTATTATTATTATTACCTTTCATAGAATCATAGAGTTCGGAAGGGCCATCCAGTCCAACCCCATTAGCCATGCAGAACCACACCTCTGGCCCCTTCCACACAGTTGTAGAAAATCCACATTGAACTGGATTATATGGCAGTGTGGACTCAAATAATCCAGTTCAAAGCCGATATTGTAGATTACCCGCCTTGATATTCTCCTGAGTTATATAGCTGTGTGGAAGGGCCCTTTGACAGATCACAGAATCCTAGAACTTCGGGAGAATTGCTGCATGATTTTATGGGTGTCTATTAAACAACAAGTCGTTTACTTTAAGTTCAGTTCAGGCAATGCTGCATTAGAGTGAGAAGCTAAGCCTGAGTTCTCTTGTTCCTGGTTCAACTCAAGCTTTGAGTTTGGATTTAATATATCCTGGAAGTTTTCTATGTTCCTGTTGATGTACTCCTGTTCAAGTTTTACTAATTATACTTTCTTGATTGTGGACTTATGCTATAATTGTGATTCCTGGCTCTTCCTGGACATGGCCCATTCAGTCCAAACTCCCTACCATGCAGGAAAAGCATAATCAACACAAATGGCCATCCAGCCTCTGCTTAAACATCCAGAATTATAGAATCATAGAATCTCATGGGCCATCCAGTCCAACCCCTGCCATGAAGCAGGAAAATTGCATTCAAAACACCCCTGACTGATGGCCATCCAGCCTCTGCTTACAAGCCTCTGGAGAAGAAGACTCCACCACTGCCAAACAGTTCTTTCTAACTTTGAGGTGGAATTGTGTTTTCATGTAGTTTGAACCCATTGCCCCTTGTCCTGGTCTCCAGAGCTGCGGAAAACAAAGCTAGCCCACCTTTTCAAAGGGGACTCCCTTCAAATAAGTATTCCAGGTGAGATCTAACCAAAGCAGAATACAAAGGCACCATGGCTTCCCTTGATCTAGACCAGGCATGGGCGAACTTGGGCCCTCCAGGTGTTTTGGACTCAAACTCCCAGCATTCCTAACAGCCTCAGGCCCTTTCCTTGTCCCTCTCAGCCACTTAAGCACCTGAAAGGAGGGCCCAAGTTGGCCAATGCATGAGCTATCTCGACTTACTAATTTGCATATGGTTTCTGATTGGCCAGTCTCAACATTCTAACATTCTTAAGCGGCTGAGTGGGAAAAGGAAGGAGCCTGAGGCTGTTGGGAATGCTGGGAGTTGGAGTCCAAAACACTGGAGGGCCCAAGTTGTCCCATGGCTATACCTAGCTCCACTCCTCCTGATCAGAGGGGCTCTCAGGGCTTCTCACTCACCTGCAGAGTGAGTGAAAGGAAAAGGAAGGGGCCTGAGGCTGTTAGGAATGCTGGGAGTTGGAGTCCAAAACACTGCAGGGCCCAAGTTGGCCCATGGCTGTACCTAGCACCACTCCTCACTCACGTGCAGAGGCTGTGAGGGAAAAGGAAGGGGCCCGAAGCTGTTAGGAATGATGGGAGTTAGAGTCCAAAACACTGGACAGGAGGGCCCAAGTTCGCCCATGCATGAGCTATCTCAACCTACTAATTTGCATATGTTTTCTGATTGGCCCATCTCAACATTCTTAAGTGGTTGAGGGGGGAAAGGAAGGAGCCTGAGGCTGTTAGGAATTATGAGAGATAGAGTCCAAAACATCTGAAGGGCCCAAGTTGGCCCATGCATAAGCTATTTCAACTTATTCATTTGTATATGGTTTCTGATTGGCCAGTCTCAAAATTCTAACATTCTTAAGAGGCTGAGGGGGAAAAGGAAGGAGCCTGAGGCTGTTAGGAATGATGGGAGTTGGAGTCCAAAACCCCTGAAGGGCCCAATTGGCCCATGCATGAGCAATCTCGACTTACTAATTTGCATATGGTTTCTGATTGGCCAGCCTGAAAACTCCAATTCTTAAGTGGCTGCGGGGGTGAAAAGGAAGGGGCCTGAGGCTGTTAGGAATGATGGGAGTTGGAGTCCAAAACACTGGAGGGCCCAAGTTGGCCCATGCCTGTACCTAGCACCACTCCTCACTCATCTGCAGGGGCTGAGGGGGAAAAGGAAGGGGCCTGAGGCTGTTAGAAATGATGGGAGTTAAGAGTCCAAAACACTTGAAAGGAGAGCCCAAGTTCGCCCATGCATGAGCTATCTCGACTTACTAATTTGCATGTGGTTTCTTATTGGCCAGTCTGAACATTCTAACATTGTTAAGTGGCTGAGAGGGGAAAGGAAGGGACCTGAGGCTGTTAGGAATGATGGGAGTTGGTGTCCAAAACACTGGAGAACCCAAGTTGGCCCATGCCTGTACCTAGCACCACTCCTCACTCACCTGCAGAGGCTGAGGGGGAAAAGGAAGGGGGCTGAGGCTGTTAGGAATGATGGGAGTTGGAGTCCAAAACACCTGAAGGGCCCAAGTTGGCCCATGCATGAGCTATCTCAACCTATTAATTTGCATATGTTTTCTGACTGGCCAGTCTCAACATTCTTAAGTGGTTGAGAAGGGAAAGGAAGGAGCCTGAGGTTGTTAGGAATGATGGGAGTTGCAGTCCAAGACACCTGAAAGGAGGGCCCAAGTTAGCCCATGCATGAGCTATCTCAACTTATTCATTTGCATATGGTTTCTGATTGGCCAGTCTCAAAATTCTAACATTCTTAAGAGGCTGAGGGGGAAAAGGAAGGAGCCTGAGGCTGTTAGGAATGATGGAAGTTGGAGTCCAAAACACCTGAAGAGCCCAAGTTGGCCCATACATGAGCTATCTCAACCTACTAATTTGCATATGTTTTCTGATTGGCCCATCTCACCATTCTTAAGTGGTTGAGGGGGGAAAGGCTATTAGGAATGATGGAAGTTAGAGTCCAAAACACCTGAAGCGCCCAAGTTGGCCCATGCATGAGTTATCTAGACCTATTAATTTGCATACGGTTTCTGACTGGCCAGTCTCAACATTCTTAAGTGGTTGAGAAGGGAAAGGAAGGAGCCTGAGGCTATTGGGAATGATGGAAGTTGGAGTCCAAAACACCTGAAGAGCCCAAGTTGGCCCATGCATGAGCTATCTCAATCTACTAATTTGCATATGGATTGTGATTGGCCAGTCTGAACATTCTAACATTCTTAAGCGGCTGAGGGAGAAAAGGAAGAGGGCTGAGGCTATTAGGAACGATCGGAGTTGGAGTCCAAAACGCCTGGAGGAAGGCCCAAGTTGGCCCATGCCATTCCTCCCGCTCAGGGGGGCTCTGGGGGCTTCTCACCCACCTGCAGCTCGCACCAGGCCACTTCGACGGTGGTCTCAGTGTCGAGCCCCTTGTAGACGGTCTTGAAGGAGCCCCGTCCGATCTCGATGTCGAACTTGAGGAAGCGCCCGTCGGGGGACGTGGCCACGGCGCGGGTCTCGGCCTCCTCGGTCTCCTCTTCTTCCTCCCGCTTCGGGGGGCGGCTCTCGGGCAGCAGGAGCGGCAGCAGCGGGGGAAGGCTCTCCTCTCTCGGGGAAGGGCTGCCGCCGCCGCCGTCGAAGCCCCGCAGGCTGATCTTGTAAGCCGAGGGCCGCCGCGCCCGGAGGAACGCCGCCGCCTTCGCCTTCGCCGCCTCCTCCTCGTCGTGGTCCATCTCCGAGGCGACTTGGGCCGGGAGCGAGCCCGGATCGGGGACTCGCAGCATGAGCATCGGACGCGGGATGTGTCAGCCTTCTGTGGCTCGTCTCCTCGGCCAGGAGAGACTCCTCGGCCCGCCCCCGTCTCCGCCCCGAAGGGAGAGAGAGGGAGAGAGGGAGTCAGGGTCCGCCCCTCGGCTCCAAAACGCGCCAAGGCCTCCCACGGAACGCCCTCTCCTCTCCTCGTAGTAACACAGAACACTCAAAACTACTACTAAGACAGCCACTCTGTTGGGAAACATACCTACAATCAATCAGTATTAGACACACAACTGCTGGGACTACTCACACTCCGGCTGGAGCTACACTGCCATATAATCAAACCAGATAATCCAGATTATCTGTTTAGAGCTGGATTATATGAGTCTACACTGCCATATAATCCGGATAATAAAAATAATTCAGATTATTTAGAACCGGATTATATGAGTCCACACTCATGAAACCCGGTTAATCAAAAATAATTCAGATTATTTAGAGCCGGATTATATGAGTCTACACTGCCATATAATCCAGATAATCAAAGATAATCCAGGTTATCTGTTTGGAACTGGATTATATGAGTACACTACCATATCATAAAAAAATCCAGAGTATCTGTTTAGAATTGGATTATATGAGTCTATACTGCAATATAAAACAATCAAAAATAATCCAGGTTATATGTTTAAAATCGGATTATATGAGTACACAGCCATATAATCCAGATAATCAAATATAATCCAGGTTATCTGTTTAGAACTGGATTATATGAGTCCACACAAACATATAATCCGGATAATAAAAATAATCCAGATTATCTGTTTAGAAGTGGATTATATGAGTCTACACTGCCATATAATAAAAAAATCCAGATTATCTGTTTAGAACTGGATTATATGAGTCTGCACTGTCATATAATCCAGATAATCAATAAATGATCCAGGTTATTTGTTTAAAACCAGATTATATGATTCTACAAGCCATATAATCCAGATAATCCAGGTTATCTGTTTTGAAGTGGATTATATGAGTCTATACTGTCATGAAACCCAGATAATCAAAAATAATCCAGATTATTTAGAACTGGATTATATGAGTCTACACAGCCATATAATCCAGATAATCAAATATAATCCAGGTTATCTGTTTAGAACTGGATTATATGAGTCTACACTCTCATAAAACCCAGATAATCAAAAATAATCCAGATTATTTAGAACTGGATTATATGAGTCTACACTGTCATATAATCCAGATTATCTGTTTAGAACTGGATTATATGAGTCTACACTGCCATATAATCCAGATAATCAAAGATATTCCATGTTATCAGTTTAGAACTGGATTATACGAGTGTACATTGCTATATAATCCAATCAAAGATAATCCAAGTTATCTGTTTAGAACTTGATTATATGAGTCTACACAGCCATATGACCCAGTTAATAAAAATAATCCAGATTATCTGTTTAGAACTGGATTATATGAGTCTACACTGCAATATAAAACAGACAATCAAAGATAATCCAGAGTGTCTGTTTGGAACTAGATTATATGAGTCTACACTGCCATATAATAAAAAATCCAGTTTATCTGTTTAGAACTGTATTATATGAGTCTATACTGTCCCCATAGGGGTGAGAATGCTGTAAATAAATGTAAATAAATCAATATAATCCAGATAATCAAAGATAATCAAAAATAATCCAGGTTATTTGTTTACAACTGGAATTTATGAGTCTACACTGCTATATAATCCAGATAATCAAAGATATTCCATGTTATCAGTTTAGAACTGAATTATTTGAGTCTCCACTGCTATATAATCCCGACAATCAAAGATAATCCAGGTTATCTGTTTAGAACTTGATTATATGTGTCTACACAGCCATTTAATCCAGATAATCAAAAATAATCCAGATTATCTGTTTAGAACTGGATTATATGAGTTCACGCAGCCATATATTTGTAGTGCAAAAAACACTTAAAAACAACACAATAATTATAATGAAGAACAATTTAAACAAATATACTCTTTTTAGTATTTCAATGGGAAATGTGGGCCTGCTTTTGGCTGGTGAGATAAGATTGTTGTTGTTGTTGTTGTGTGCTTTCAACTCGTATCAGATTTAGCTTGCCCTGAGCGAGGGCCAGGTAAATGACCTTGGAGGGCCGTATCAGCCCTTGGATCTTAGTTTGAGGACCCCTGGTCTAGTCATTCGGTTCCCTATGTCAGTTACTCTGCATTTGTAAATGCTTGCTCAAACAACCATGTTTTAACTTTTCTCCAAAATGTTAAGAGGGAGGGAGCTGATCTGATATTCCATAGCCGAGGGGCCACCACTGAGAAGGCTCTCTCTCTCACGTCCCTGCCAACCATACTTGTGATGAAGGTGGGATCAAGAGCAGGGCCTCCCCAAACGATCTTAAGTTCCTAAATGGTTTATAAGGGGAGATACGTTCGGACATGTAGATTGGGTCAGAACTGTTTAGGGCTTTGTAGGCTAAAGCCAACACTTTGAATTGTGCCCGGTAGCAGACTGGCAGCCAGTGGAGCTGGCACAACAGAGGAGTTGTATCCTCCCAGAGTGCCACTCCTGTTAACAATCTGGCTGCCATCTGCTGGATCATTTGAAGCTTCCAGGCAGTCTTCAAAGGCAGCCCCACGTAGAGCGCACTGCAGTAGTCTATAGGGGATGTAACCAGAGTGTGGACTACCATGGCCAAGTCAGACTTTCCAAGGTACGCAGCTGGCGCACAAGTTTTAACTATATCCCAGAATATCAAGATAGAAAATCCCACATTATCTGAGTGTGGACTCAGATAATCCGGTTCAAAGTATATATTGTGGGATTTTCTGCCTTGATATTTTGTGTGGAAGGGCCATGAGATATTCATGGAAAAAAACTATAGCAAAATGTGCTGCAGGCTGTCCTGCTAAAACAAGTTTTTTGCATTTTAGTAGAACTTTCCCCTATTTTATGATAGAAGCAAATAGAAAATGACATGTTACATAGTGTTATTATATTTATTATGGTTTTTGTAAGTTCTGAGCGGGACAAAAGCTCAGGTTTCTCAGACATGAGAGGATAGAGAAAAGGACAGGGGTGGGAAGTGTTTCAATTCCCCAGTCCTGTGTATCGTTGCCAACATGAATGACGCCAACAGGAGCCAACAGTGTGTGCTTATGATCGTCATTGCGATAATAGCATGTGTTGTGTGTCGGGTTTTACAGCGCCTTGTTTGGGAGACTGTAAAGTAATAGGAGTGTGTTTGTGTGTCTTCCTTGCAGTGCCTGGCACACACTCTCGCAATCTCTCTCACTGTCTGGCGGGAATTCACAATTTGTGGGCAGTAAGGCTATGAAAGGTCTCCTTCTGAGGAAAGTTATGGACTCTTCCCCCCTGGGGGGAGTGAATGAAACACATAAATAGAGTATATATGAGGGTTGAATGAAAAGTAATGCCTCCACCTTCGTTACTTGGGTTTGGATGGGAATATTTTAATAAATCAAATGCAGAAATAATCCTTAGAATGTGTTCTTTAACTGCCACTATTCACTTTTCCGTCATAGAAATTCTCATAGTGGTTCGCAAAAAGGCCTTACTGGTGCATTATTTAAACTGTTATGTTTATTCATATCATGATCTGATCACCATACTCAATATATCCCATATGCATGGGGGTACTGGGGTAATGATACAAAAGGTTTGCTAGGCCAGACTCTCTTTCACTCAGACTCAGCCCCCCCCCGAAACTCAGCCCCCCCGAAACCCCCCCCTGAAAAAAATTCAGCCCCCCCCCCCCGAAACAAAATCCTGGCTACGGGCCTGGCTCTCACAGTCAGGACATTCTTCCTAATATTCAGATGGAATATCCTCTCTTGTAGTTTGAAGACATTGTTCCGCGTCCTAGACTCCAAGGAAGCAGAAAACAAGCTTGCTCCCTCCTCCCTGTGGCTTCCTCTCACATATTTATACATGGCTATCATGTCTCCTCTCAGCCTTCTCTTCTTCAGGCTAAACATGTCCAGGTCTTTAAGCCGCTCCTCACAGGGCTTGTTCTCCAGACCCTTTATCATTTTAGTCGCTCTCCTCTGGATACATTCCAGCTTGTCGATATCTCTCTTCAGTTGTGGTGCCCAGAATTGGACACCTTATTCCAGGTGTGGTCTAACGAAGGCAGAATAGAGGGGTAGCATGACTTCCCTGGATCTAGATACTATACTCCTTGGGGAGATGGTGGTGGGGTATAAATAAAGAATTATTATTATTATTATTATTATTATTATTATTATTATTACTCCTATTGATGCAGGCCAAAATCCCATTGGCTTTTTTTGCCACCGCATCACATTATTGGCTCATGTTTAACTTGTTGTCCACGAGGACCCCAAGTTCTCTCAATGTCTTCATCAGAAGCATAATGATATCCCCACAGATCTTCTTTTATTAACGGGAACAGATGGAAGTCAGACGGTGCTAAATCTGGACTGTATGGAGAATGTCGTACAGTGGTGAGATCCAGTCTCGGAAGTTTCAAGCCTAAAGACCTGGCTATTCGAGAAGGCATTTAAATGAGTGCTACATTAACTGGTAATGACATTTTGGAACGGAATATGGATTATGAGATTGACTATGATGATTCCTTGTTGTGACGGTGCGGATTAGTTAGTGTAATTTAGATTAATATGTAATATGGTTATGTTGATGCTTGTGTGCTTTATTGTAAACTGTTTTTATATGTTGTACACCGCCGCGAGTCGCCCCAGGGCTGAGAGCGGCGGTCAACAAATGCAGCAAATAAATAAATAAATAAATAAATAAATAAGTCTGTGCGCTTTCATTTCAGGCGTCAGCATCCTTGGTACCCATCGTGCACAGATCTTCCCATAGCCAAGCAAAGCAATAATGTGACCCACACGTTCTTGTGAAATGCTGTTTATGCTTGAAATTTCTCTCTGAGTGATGCGACAATTGTCCTGAATCAATCTGTCAACCTTTTGTTCGTGAAACTTAGTGGTTGCTGTCACAGGACGTCCAACTCTTTCTTTGTCATGAAAGTCAGAAGTTCTCACCTCTATATTTAAACTTACTCACCCAAC